TTAATCTAGTTTCACTTACCTATTAATTAATAAATATTTGATAATCGTCTGTTGTTGGCGACTTTGTTTGTTAACAGAAATGGGTAGGAAAGAACATGATAAGTGTTATAGGCAAGGAACTCGACAACCCTATTGAATTTTATTGTTTATCAAAACTCAGTAATATACAGCCAAAGATGTTGGTATATATGATATTAAGATTAGTAACAAATTTTTAAGTACTTATATTATCAAATAGTTTTAATTTGTTTCATATTTGCTGCAAATTCACTTACTTGTGAAATGTTATACCACTTCCCTTTTGGTAACGAGTTTTACAGATTACGCACACTCTCATTATTAATAAAAATAATTCTTATTATGTAACTAATATTATACACAATCAAACAACATAAAATATTTTCATTTTTTAGTTTAAAAGTTCAAAATACCTACAGATTTATTAAATAAGACAATTTAAATATGACAACAGACTTTGGCATATTATGTCAGTTTTATTTTTCAAGACATCCTTTAGCGGCGCTTCAAATTGTGTGTCATTTTCTATGGTATAGCCAGTCCAGTGTACTTGTATATATAGAGGTCAGTGGTTTCCCCGCTGGATCGTGAAAGAAGGACAAACAAATACACTTTCATTAAAATTTTACTTATTTAAAAATATGAACAACGCATGCATTACTTTGAAAAATTATATTGCACTTGTTGATTATAGGCAAAATATAATCTAAAAACAGAAAGTAGAGCTTTATTTGTTTGTTTTCAAAACTTTCATGTAAAGAAGTCTCGAAAGGTTATGCTCTACGAGATGTTCTTGCTGAAAATACAGCTTAAGTGCATTCCAATGATCTACTATGTGATTTATTCAGGCGTGTAGGGAGAGCCAACGTATGTCGTGAAGACGTAAAATATTATGATGCTCCGATTCTATAAAAGACTGAAATTCTGCAAATTCTCTTTTGCTTTAACTACTATGGCCATTGTGAACTTCTTTCATAATTTAATCTAAAGCTTTAAGCAGCTTTTTACAGGCATAACTGACTTAATCTGACGAATGACGTGCTCATTTTACAAATATACAATTAGAATTGATCGACTTAATCTTTTGCAACCAAGCTACTATTTCTGCAAAATATTACATACGTTGTATCAGCTGCAAATCCTAACGTATGTTCAATGTTTAAATTTAATTCTTGCCAAATTTTTCACAGTGAGTCAAAAATGTTTTCAACAGTTTCGCCTGATAGGTTTTTCAGAACACAAAAAATATGGTTTTCAGTGTATTATCCTAAACGCTATAACACTTTATTGCAACGCAAGTAATTTTTATTTTGTAATGTCTGTACTTTCATCTATAATTAATGAAAAATTATTACCGGACAAACTTGGCGTATTCTTTATATCTGATAATAACTGTTTTTCAAATGATGGTGCCGTTACATCGTAAGTTAACTGTAACCTCTGAATCTGTTAGTTAATGTTTTTAAACAGACTTTAAGTTAGCTGCTAGTGTAACAACACAATTTGAATAATATAATAAAATTCCTATTAATTTCTACGTTAAAGAAGCGCTAGGATCGTACAGACCGCCACTAACGCCACTGCTCTAGGTACCTTATGAAATGGAATTAGAAAAACAAACCGATAACATTATATAATTACTACAAAAGTAGATAGAAATACGTAGCTAATAGGTAATGTCATTTTATACTGACAAATAAAAACTATGGGACGCAATGCAGCTTTATCGTTTTTCTTAACCTTAGATGCCTTAGACTGTCCACTGAAGTGTATTTTTTTTATAGAATAAGGGTGACAAACGAGCACACCGTCCTGTTGGTAAGTGGATGCTGTAGCCAATAGACTATACATCTATACAATCTATATTTATCTTCAAAAAAGCCAGCTCTAAGAACTGAGATGGAATGCCTTGTTTCCATTTAAAAGGGTCTCCGGTTATCAACTTTCACTATACGAAACACAGTAGCATTAAGCTGCTATTTTGCGCTGGTATTCTGTGAGATCATGGTTCTACCCCAGTCAAGCTGACCTATTCGTGACGCAACCACAATATAGCTGCACCATGGCACGTAAAAGCACTGTATAAGTTTCTGTCGATGTTTTTCAGACTCTGCATAACTTTTAGTTGTGATTCTGCTTAAAAATGTCGTACCACAAGATTTACACAAAGCGTTATCACTGTTTTCGTACTTTGTCAACCATGACGAATACTCAGGATTTTATTCTCACTCAGGTCCATATTTCCGTTCGTACTTGCGCTTCATAATTTTATTCCGAACGTAATTCACCAACATGGAAAAACCGCAAACATGGAAAAACTACCAGCGTCACTGAAGGTTTGGACATTATTTAGCGTCGGAAATAATCGTCGTTACATTAACATGAACAAAGTGTATGGCGTACTTGGAAACAAAAAATGCTCAGGCTTACCGGCTTTCCATGCCTTAACCGGGTGCGATTTCAAACCTGCATTTTACCGCAAGGTAAAAAGGAAACTGTAAGAACTGTATTCTGCCAATGAAGATTTCCAAGAAGCTTTCATCGCATTGCAAAGCCCAGATAGCGACAATTACGAAAGTGCATTTACCACGCTGGAAGACTTTGTCTGCAAAATGTACGCAACAGCGAAAAATGGCCTCAGAAAATGCTCTAATGTAGACGAGGCTCGTATACGAATATTTACGCAAACATATACAAACAAAATAGAGCCCACAGACGAGTTCAAGCAAAAGTTGATGAATTTCGATGCTTGCACATTACCACCTTACGTGAACTCCAACAACAACTTCTTCGAGCAGCGTACATTGGACATATGTGGAAAAATTCTTTTTCTCCAAAGCCCAACTATTCATTGAATGTAGAGGAATTCGGCTGGAAACTGGAAAATAACAGCTATTCCTTCCGGTGGTTCGAGGGTGATGATATTCCTCCTAATGTACAGGAAATTATTGAAGGTACTTATTTCTTTCTACTCATGCTTTTATCTTTTCACATTGGAGGTCATTATTCTACTAGAAATTTCATTACTATACGATCAGTTGTTTTTTACTTATGTTTAACAAATACGTAAAATTAGAATAATAACTGAAAAACATGTTTTTCTTTAATTTTCATAGCCCCAAAAGAAAGCGGCGCTAATGACGAGGAAGTCATATCGATGTATCCAAATTTTGATGATGAAGAGGATGACGAATCGAATAATGACGATGACAGCGATTGCCAATCCGATATTGGCTACACAACGGAAGAAGAGTCCGTACATAGCCGCGATGATGATGATGATAATGATAATGTCGATAATGATGATGAAGCGGTTGATGATAATGATAATTTATAATACTTCACGTTTAAAATAATGATGCTGCTAATAATTTTTTACTTTCATTTTTCATTAAAAATTTAGAAAAAAAAGAATAAAATTATAAAATCGGACCATTTTTTGTTTATTTAATCAATTGTCATAAAGCTACATGCATGCCATTCTGCATTTCAACTTGAAATAGTATCTACTAACAAAATACAAAGCGGCATGCAATAACAAGTCACGGCATTTTTCAGAATTTTTTTTCAATTGAAAAATTGATATTGATTCAATTTTTCCACAATTTTGGTATGTTGGGCTGTAGCTCCATGCATGCCATTTACGTTCATGACTTGAAATAATGTAAATTCATGAAATACAAAACGGCATGCAAAAACAAGTCACCTAAATTTGCACTATCTTTTTTGCAACTTTCATTATTATTTATAATACGATGGGCTTATTCAATATGCATGCCATTTGAATTAGATAATTATTTCGTAATAAAATTAATATTCATCCATATTAGGAGTAATTTGGAATCACGGAAAATCGGAGTTCAATTTTTACAGAGTTTTCCGGAAATTTTCCACCGTTGGTCATACAAGGGGTGCATGCCAATTTTTCCAGTGTTTTTATTACAAAAACTTCCATTCTTTATATCGGCATGCAATTTGAAAACACGGAATTGCCCTTTAATTTTTTTTCAGGTTTTCAAAACCCTTTGATCATCTTGGGCCGCTGCGAGGTGCATGCCATCAATTATTAGAGCTTCAATTTGCTTGAACTTTTGTATATTACAATGGCATTATTATCATGGAAAAACACGTAAATTCGCTACACAAAGAAAAGCGCTTTTCCTTATGAAGAGAACGCGCGGGGGCATAAAGCCCCGACAATCTTTGATATTTTAGGATTAGTTCTCAAGTCTTAAAAAGGCATGCACGACAAAATCGTGGAACGTCACCTGTCACCAGCTCCCGGTCTATATTCGTTATAATAGTGAAATTTTATAAGATGAGTGTCTCTAAAGGTGACAAAGATATTTGAAAATTCCATACAAAACCAAGGTAAGTAACATAATTTAAATCTTTAGGTTATAAAAGCCGGTACTTAAACAGGTTTTACTAACAAAATTGTGTAAAGTATTGTTCTGTCGAAATATCTAACGAGTTTACTATATTTCTCCCGTGGAATTACCAAGATAAAAAGTTGCCTATGTCCTTCTCGTAACAGACAAACAGACAGGTATGTGATGTGTGTGGATCCCAGTATCCCACAGGAACGGACCGTACATGTAATATGCCTATTCTTTTTAACCCCCGACGCAAAAGGGGGGTTTTACATGTAAATTCGACACCGTCTGTCTGTCTGCCTGTGTGTGTGTATGTCCATCTGCCTGTGTTTGTGTCTGTCTGTGGCATCGTAGCTCCCAAACAGGTGGACCGATTTGGTTGTGCTTTTTTAATAGAAAGCTGGTTTAAGGGAGATAGTTCTTAGCTATGTACGATGATGATCAGGTCAGCCAAATATGATGAAAGTATTGTCTGTCACAAAATAAGTTATTATAGCTAAACTATAGAAGTTATTACATTTAAAAACCTATAAATACAATTACAAACTTAAAACTCCCGAGCTGCCTCCCGACTAAAACTTATTCAACGTGATTATCTGTTTACAGATGCTGCTTGCTCGAGTCAGGTCGAAAAGAAAAGAAAGAAAGAAAGATAGTGATTGTACTAAAATTAATCAGATAGGTCCTGTTGGCAATTATGCTGGAGAGTCAGAATCTTGTAAGTCTTCTTTGGTTCTTGTGCTTTCAAGAGAAGTTCATAACAAGTTATTTTTTATAAGTTTGTATTGAAGTTCTCTTGAGAAGGGTAATTTTACGATACTTTGTTCTTCAGGCCGCTCGAGGAAATGAATGTCTGTCTGTTTTAAATGTCTATGTATGTGTATGTGTGCAGAGTACCTAGTGGCTAACCATGCTCTTTGAAATTTAAATTTAACATCCTATACATAATATTAATTAATTAGGTATTCTGTTTTACTTCTGTTTTAAATGTCTATGTATGTGTATGTGTGCAGAGTACCTAGTGGCTAACCACGCTCTTTGAAATTTAAATTTAACATCCTATACATAATATTAATTAATTAGGTATTCTTTTTTACTTCTGTTTTAAATGTCTATGTATGTGTATGTGTGCAGAGTACCTAGTGGCTAACCATGCTCTTTGAAATTTAAATTTAACATCCTATACATAATATTAATTAATTAGGTATTCTGTTTTACTTCTGTTTTAAATGTCTATGTATGTGTATGTGTGCAGAGTACCTAGTGGCTAACCATGCTCTTTGAAATTTAAATTTAACATCCTATACATAATATTAATTAATTAGGTATTCTGTTTTACTTCTGTTTTAAATGTCTATGTATGTGTATGTGTGCAGAGTACCTAGTGGCTAACCATGCTCTTTGAAATTTAAATTTAACATCCTATACATAATATTAATTAATTAGGTATTCTGTTTTACTTCTGTTTTAAATGTCTATGTATGTGTATGTGTGCAGAGTACCTAGTGGCTAACCATGCTCTTTGAAATTTAAATTTAACATCCTATACATAATATTAATTAATTAGGTATTCTGTTTTACTTCTGTTTTAAATGTCTATGTATGTGTATGTGTGCAGAGTACCTAGTGGCTAACCATGCTCTTTGAAATTTAAATTTAACATCCTATACATAATATTAATTAATTAGGTATTCTGTTTTACTTCTGTTTTAAATGTCTATGTATGTGTATGTGTGCAGAGTACCTAGTGGCTAACCATGCTCTTTGAAATTTAAATTTAACATCCTATACATAATATTAATTAATTAGGTATTCTGTTTTACTTCTGTTTTAAATGTCTATGTATGTGTATGTGTGCAGAGTACCTAGTGGCTAACCATGCTCTTTGAAATTTAAATTTAACACATATACATATCCAATAGTATTGTTTATCTTTTGTAAAATTAATTTTTTTTTCTTTCAATTACAGTTGACATTGCATCAAAACTAACTATGGAAAGTCAAAACGAATTGAAGAAAGCGAAAATGAATCTCTCTTTGGTGGTGACTTTTCAGATAGGGACCTGTCGTATTTACCTTCTGATCTAGATCGCCCTACTACACTTGAATCTGATGATTCAGAATTTATACAATTGGATGAGTTGTTAAATCCAGACAGATATTTAACTAAAGAAAATAATGTAAAAGAAATGCGAAGTAAAGCTATAGCTCTATTGTTTGGCAAACCAAAACAACTTCCTAATAATAATGAATCCCAGTATGTGGTCCAAGCAATAACGGAAAATATATTTAAACTAACTTGGAAAGTTATACAACCACATACTCGAAGTAGTCGACGAGATCCAGCTACATGGAAAAATAATCTAGCAAAAAGACATAGAGCTGAAGGCCTTCCATACGTAACTAAATCGAAATATCGAGAACCAAAACTCCCTAAGCCAATTAACTGTTCTAAGTGCAAATTTAACTGCAACAATCATGTAACCAAAAATATTCGTAAAGATTTGTGCAGAAAATACTGGAACCTAGACTACATTTCAAAAAAACTGTTTATATTGAGTTATATTGAAGTCAAACCTACAAAGAGGATTCTTTTGAACAGAAAACGATCTATACAGCGCAAGTATACAAAGCAATGTTTTTTTATCATTGAAGGAATGAAAGCAAATGTGTGCCAAGATTTTTTTTTGCAGAACATTAAGCATTTCACTGCATGTGATAGCAGTTAAAGCACCGCAATAGTTTCAGGGACAGTATTCAAAAGAACAGGACCTGCGCGGTCGTCGTGAGCCTCCAAATAAAACGTCGTCTGAGACGGTAGAAGCTGTTAAAAAGCACATAGCATCATTTCCTAGCATGGAAAGCCACTATGTGCGAAAGAAGTTGAAACGCAGGTATTTAGATACAGGACTTATATTAAGCAAAATATACGCTCTCTATGTAGAATGCAAAAACAAAAATAGCGAACCAGTTGTATCAGAAATGACTTATCGAAGGGTTTTCTCTACAGAATTTAATTTAGGTTTTTTTATGCCTAAAAAAGACCAATGTCTTTTATGTACCAAATTTAAGCGTGCCAACGGCGAAGAAAAAGATACAATTTAACAATTTACGAAAACGCACTTCCCAATGAAGCTTACTGTTTTGTTTGGAATGAAGTGCATGGTAAAAAAGGTAGTGCTGAAATCAGAACGATTTTATTATTAACATGCGTGAGAGAGAGTGTGGTGGCCAAAACCGTAATCAGTATATTGCCGCCATACTATTGTGGATAATGACACACACCTAGACATAATAGAACACAAGTTCCTCGAATCCGGTCACAGCTACATGGAAGCTGACTCCATGCACAGCGCCATAGAAACTTCGAAGAAAAATTGTGACATCTACTGTATGTCTGACTTGATAAACGTTTTTAAACGGGCTAGGTCTAAAAAAGTTTATAAACGTGAAGGTAAGAAAGTTACAAAGAACGCTTACCATGTTAAAGAATTCAAATACCATGAATTTAAAGATTTAAAAGATATTGGCGGAGACGGTAATAATAAATAGAAATAGAAACACAGAATGCGAAAAAGTGAACTAGCTCAAGATTAAACGTATGAAGTATATGAAAGGAGACAATAGGATTTACTATAATTATGACATGTCTGAGTTTATGATATTGGATGTTACTACATCCATGAAAACCAATTTGCAAATTACGACGACCCCTTTACCTTATGCAAACCATGGTTATGCAACCAGAAACAAGGGTAAGCAACAAGAAGTAGTTGATGAAATAGCAGCCATCCAGTTCTGGAGCTATCTTTCCACCCTTACAGCAGCTATACAGTGGACGTCTCCCTATATCCATAGCTAAGAAGAAGGATCTAATTAATCTTTGCAATAAAGGTGTAATACCGGAAGAGTATCATGGGTGGTTCCAGTCTCTGGCTGGCTACTGAAGCTAGCAGTGTTGATCGATTGCCAGCTACGACTCTTTGACAATGGATGCGTTTGGCAAAAAAAAGCGCTAGCAAGCGCTTATACGAGGGTGGATTGAAAAGTACTCGGCCTAACCAAGAAAATAAACACATACTAAATCAGTTATATTTTTATTTTCTACATAATCACCATCAAGTTCAATACACTTTTGCCACCTCCCCTTCCAAGCATTTAGACTGTTGAAAAAAAATTATTCTTCCTTAGAGTCAAAATATGCGTCTACAGCTGCTTTGACCTCGTCGTTTGTCGAAAATCTTTGACCTCCCAAGTGCTTTTTTAGGTTAGGGAACAGAAAGAAGTCTGATGGTGCCAGATCAGGTGAATACGGCGGATGCGGTAACAGTTCAAAGCCACAGTTGTGAATTTCAGCCATTGACTGTACTGACGTGTGAACACGGGCGTTATCTTGATGAAACAGGACTTTTCTTCTGAGCATTCCTCGACGTTTTTCTTTTATTTACTCTCGTAAACGACGTAGTAAGGTGCAGTAGTAATCAGAGTTTATAGTTTGACCCCTTTCAAGATAATCAATCATAATCACACCTTTCGAGTCCCAGAATACTGAAGCCATCACCTTATTTGCCGACAAAATCGACTTAGCCTTTTTAGGGAGTGGTGAACCAGGTCTTCTCCACTGTTTTGATTGTTGTTTTGTTTCCGGTGTACAGTAATGAACCCATGTTTCGTCCATAGTAACAAAACGATTCAAAAAATCATCTGCATCGGCTTGAAATAACTCCAAACAGTCGCGTGAAATAGTCAATCGCGTCCTTTTTTGTTCAACTGAAAGCAGTCGCGGAACCCACCTCGCAGACACCTTGTGGAAACCCAACTCGTTGACAATGATGTTTTGAGTTCGTTCATAAGAGATGCCTATAATCTTGACTGTCTCTCTAATTTTTAATCTGCGGTCTCCCATTATTAAATCAAGTACTTTTTTAATATTTTCGTCAGTAGTTGACGTCGAAGGCCTTCCAGAGCGGGGTTCATCTTTCACACTCTCTCTACCACGCTTAAATTTTGCTATCCATTTTTTGACGGATGAATATGACAGAGCACAATCGCCTAATGTACTGACCATGTCATCATGGATGCTTTTGATGATAGCCCCTTCTTATGGAGGTACTTAATGACGGCACGCTGCTCGATTTGCTCCATTCGCGGAAATTATGTCCGATTACTTTGTTAATAAATTTATAAAATCACAACTAATTATCGCACACGTTTCGAACTTCACACAATGAACTAGTCTGAACTGAACTAAATAATGTGGGTAGATTTGATTTTTAGAATTGAATGGATCTGTGTTAGGCCGAGTACTTTTCAATGCACCCTCGTAAGCACTGAAATAGTTTTCGGCCAGGACATGATTACTACTTCGGTAGCGCTGACACAATCCGCCATTTTGCTTACTTAATTTGTTTGTTTCTTAGAGCATATTGTTTTAAAGTAGAGTTTATAAGTTGTTTTGTGCAATATTAGTTTTAAGTAATATAATGACATGAATAAACATATACATGTTATTAAAAATTCATGATTGGTAAGTTTTTAATATGAATACTTTACAAACATAAATTTAAATTAGGTTAGATTCCCCGGTTAAAACTAACATCGTGTCCTGGAGGAAAATAGCTACTTACGATTTGACAGCGCTTATCGCTTACGATCGCCTTTTTGCTTACAAGCGCTTGCTAGCGCTTTTTTCTGCCAAACGCACCCATTGATGACACATGTTCTCTGTCAAGCTTAGAAGACTAACCATTGTTTTTTTTTATATCAAATAAAGATTTTGTCAAAGTATTATATTTCTTTTTAAATTGTATCTATATCTTTACATAGTAAAAAACAAAGTCGCTTCCCGCCCTCTGTCCCTATGTATGTATGTACGCTTATGTCTTTTAAAGTACGCAACGGATTTTAATGCAGTTTTCATCAATAAATGATGGATTTAATAGGAAGGTTTATACGTATAATATTTACAAAGTTATTACGGGAATCGGACATACGCGGGTGAAGTCGCGGCGCAACGCTAAACGCTTTAACGGCTGGACCGATTTTAACGGGACAATCACTGGAAGATAGCGGAGGTTAAGTATAAGAAATAACTAAGGTTATTTAATTTTTTTCATTTCCCACGGGAACGGAAACTACGCGGGTAAAACCGCTGGGCGCGGTAGTTAGTACATATAAAATAAAATAAAATCTACTTTACCTTCAGCCAAAAGCGACTAAAGATATTTATTTTACATTTATACTGGCCATAGATGAACTTAAACGATTTCTATCTAGATGATTATTACTATTTAAAGCAAGTGATTAAGTAAAAAATGCCAATAGCGCTACCAGAGGGTAATTTTTGAAATTGGTAGATTTTCTACATTCAGCAAAAAGCAACTAAATGAGCTCTTTACCGGTTAATTTCTTGTTTTTGTTGAAAATCTAGTAAGTTTTCTTCAATTATTAACCTACTTAACATTACTTGAATAGTTTTTTGTTTATAAAAACGACAAGCGTTTAAAAATTGACATCACTATAATTGATTTTGGTGCCGTTAAAGTTTCAAGTGGTTATACCTCAAAAACATTTCGCTCAAATTTTGGTGCAGATAATCGGTTTTTGCAATAAGGGTACGATATCTAATATATAGTTGGTTTGTCGCCCAATATCCTATATATTCCTTTATTATTATCCGGTTCCCACTACGCCGGACCGGCAGATCTGCCGGAAACCGGACACCTGACAGAGTGTTCACATTAAATCGGATCCCGGAAGAAATTCAGACAGTCAAGTACACCTCAGTTGAATTTGGACCTGCGCGCACAATGGACGACTAAATTGTTGTATTGTGGTAGTATCTTAATAGAAGGCAAAATAAAAGAAAACATTGGGTACACCCTATTTTACGGGAAAGATTTTCACTTGGAACATTTGAAACATTAATGGGTGAACTTAGAAGAGACGAATCAAAGTTCTTCAATTATTTTCGAATGACAGCAACCACTTTGACGTTTTACTGGGACGATTATACATAAGAGTACGAGATACAAGTTTCAGAGAATGTATTTGCCCAGAACAAAGATTAGCCATATGTCTTAGGTAAGATTATTTTATGCACTAGATTGCGTAATAATAGTTTTGACGTAGGTACCTACTTAAGACTGAATGAATGAATGAATGTTTGCTATGTATGTTTGTTTGATGAATGTGAATATATATAATGTGTGTGTGGGGTGTGTGTGTGTGTGTGTATGTATTTGATAATCATTATGAATTAAAAATGCAAATAACTTATTTAAGTATTTATTTTTACCCAAACTTAAATCCCTTCACAATCTAAATAATCTGAGTCTTGGGAATGTATGGAATGATTACTAGATGCTGATGGCGAAGCTGGAATCGGATTCGGTGTCTGAGATGAAGTTGATGGTATAGATGTTGTTACCTGTTGATTGCTACTATTATATTGCGTAGAAAATCCAGGGTGGTGTTGATCTTGCGTAGGTGTTGCCTGTTGATTGACGCTATTATGTGTGTAGTATCCAGAATACTGATCTGGTCCGGTCATTTGATTATATGAATCACTCCAATGTCCGTAATTTGGTCTCTCATAATTCCTACTTTTAATTTTTTGCAACATTGTCATGACGCTAGCTTGAAATTCTAAAGTCTCTTCGATAGTTAAAGTGTTCAAGATTGGTATAGTGCCTTTGAAGAAAGACATGGTTTTCCTTTTCTGGGTTTATTCTGGAGTCCAAAAACTTTACCATTCTGTCATTTACCTCTTTATTATCAATTTTTCTTTTATCTTTAACTAAAGGTGAACGAAAATCTGATTCCATGCCTACTTCAGTCTCGGTTCTTGCTTTTTTTGAAACTGACTCATGTGGTGGTCGAGGTTCGGAGACTTTTTTCAAAAACATTAATTGCTCGTGATACAAATAATTTCGTGTCTTTTTGGTCGAAGATCCAGATTTAGACTCATCTTTTTGTTTCTTTACTGTCTTAAGCCACGAATCTCGTATATTATTCAATTTAGTTGAAACCTGTTTTCCTGAAATCAATAAAAAATATCATAAAACAATACAATTTGTTTCTTGGTGACGTATAAAGTAATAATGTATTAACAAAAATACTCTTTTTTTCAGTTATTTAGCTTCAGGATGTTCATTGAAAGAAATACATTACTCATACAGAGTAGACGTTTCGACAATAAGTAAACTAATAAAAGAAATGACCCAAGTCATTTGGGAAAACCTAAAGACAGATTTCCTTAAGCTGCCTGATACTGAGAGAGAATGGGAGGACATCGCTTTAGGATTCGAAAGAAAAGCCAACTTTCCTCACTGTCTTGGAGCAGTAGATGGCAAACATATCAGAATTTTGAAACCAGCCAAGAGTGGTTCTATGTTATTTAATTACAAGGAGTATTATTCTTTTGTATTAATGGTAGTTGTCTCTTCAGAGTACCGATTTATTTTTATTAGTGTGGGCTCATATGGCAAGGAATGCAATTCTACTATATTAAAGGATAGTACATTTTGGCAAAAGATCAATGATGGTACTTTGAATGTACCAAAGCCTAGACCGCTTTATGAAAACTTGCACGAAGAATTACCGTTTATACTTGTTGGCGATGAAGGCTTTGCTTTAACACCTAATCTCCTACGTCCATATGGAGGTACACATTTGAATACTGATAAAAATATTTTTAACTATAGACTAAGTGGAGCAAGAAGGTATGTTGAGTGCGCTTTTGGTATTCTGGCAAATAAGTGGCGAATAATCCATCGAGCTATAGATCTGAACGTAGACACAGTAATCAGTAATTCAAGGAATTAAAGCTTGTACAGTATTACATAATTTTGTAAGAGAAAAAGATGGTATAAATTTTGAAAGTTACCAAAATATAGAACATAGACAAGAACAAGAAACGACACCCATGAATCGGAATGTGTCGAGTCGAGGTGGCCCTAATGCCAACGCTATACGGAATCATTTACTAATTATTTTGTTTCGGATATTGGTTCCGTTCCTTGGCAGGCAGCAGCTATAAAATAAAATTTATCAATGCATTTACATTTTATCAATAAAACATTAAAAACTCACCGTACTGTTTTCTTTCTTTTTCATCCAGTTCATCGAAGTTTGGTTTCAGTATTAAACATACTTCACGCCATGCTGCTAACTTTAAGTTTTTGTCTTTATAGATGTCTTCGGTCTTACCCCACAGAAAAGGTCTCTCTTGGACAAGCGTAATTAAAGTTTCTGCTTGAATATCTATGCTAAACGTCTACTTTTACCAGAAAATGCGAAAGCCGAATGACGTGAGTCGAACACATGCGGGGCGAGGGGAGCACGAGCGGGGCGAGCGGGGGACAGATACCGGCACAAACTCGTTCACATTACTCCGGGCCCGGTCATTCTACCGGCAATTCGTAGTGACAAAACGCTCGGTAAAAATGCCGGGCTCGGCAAAAATGCCGGACCCGGGATAATGTGAATAGCTTCATATAAATTGTACAGCCACTAGCCCTTCCGGCAGATTAACCGGCGCGGCAGATCTGCCGGTCCGGCGTAGTGGGAACCGGGCCATAGATGTTGAATATTGTAATATACAACGTGTCCCAAAATTCAACGATAAGCCAACACCGGAGGATAGACCTGCCCCGGACTAATCGGGGAAAAAAAGAAAAAAAAATATATCCCAATTATATTTTAAGTTATATAAAAAAAATTAAATTCTTCAGAAATTGAGACCGTTTATGATATTTTTCACTCTCATGACCACAATTTTTTTAATATTTGTTTCTTTTTTTTTTATAGGCAACCTGAGTAGCACTGCTATCTACCACAATTCTTAAAAAATCCAGAATAACTCTTGTTTTATCACGAAAATTAATGAAACTTTTTATTCCCTAAATTTTTTGAAGACTTTTACTTTTAACCAAATTTAACTTATCGTGGTGTAAAAAAAAGTATGAACACTAGTATGGCAAGTTTTTTTTAAAAATTGATGCAACTAACTAACATTCAAAAATGGTATAATAATCTAGGAAAACAAGTTATAAAAAAATATGGGTCTATTATTTCTTAACAGGGGCCAAATTCCTGAAAATTGTAATTGTCAGTAATCACTTTTACTACATGCCCAAAATGGGTTCTTGTTACAATTTCTAGGAATTTTAATGGGGCATACATACCTTAGATGTTAGAGAGAGAGAGATAGATAGATAGAGATATTTACGTTAAAAAGAGACAACAACAGGGCAGGTAGAGAAGCTGTTATTATAGCAAGTCAGTTCAGTATGCTCTGCTCCTTTGTTTACTGCGCACCGTTCCCAATTCAACTTACGTGGCTCTCGTACATACTATTGACTTTTGGTATGGCTTTTTGGACTGGAATCGACCTGCAAACTTAACTGGCATGGCATGACCTACAGACAGCCAAATGAACTGGTTTCCAAAGTCTTGTACCATATACTACATGTATACCCTTTGGCAACTATCCCACCAGAACTTACATGTAGGTAGCTGATAGACCCAGATGGCTCAGAACAGTAGGTACTGTGGCAATCTATGAGGGGAGGCCATGTTCTACATTCCGGAATGGGCTGTAATAATAATAATGATGGATTTATTTTGGCTAGACCTCATATCATAATCAATAGTCACTGCTCCTGACCACTACAAAAATAACTAAATATCAATAAAAAAAAAATTAAATTATCCTTTACAGTTAGGGTTTCATTTTAGGATTTTTTTAATTATAGGAATGAAATAATTTTGAGTAAAATTAAAGCGAAAGGAAAAATTTGGATATTTAACAGGACATATTTTATAGCTTTTGCATTACTTGGTTATAATTATAACAATGTAATGTCACTAGTCCTTCAGTTTTATGTATAATTCATATAAATATATATTCAAATATGAAGAACAGTAATTTTGTTTAAATAAGTTTAAGGATGCAAAAATCAATATTCTGATGGTAAGGTCATAACAGATATCTAATAAAGCTTTGGTAACCAACTTTCTTTATATAGACATCAGAAAGGGTCATATGGTAACATACCCTTGCATTTGTTAGTATTACATAAACATTTTTTTCTTTTACAATCACCATCATTAATTTCCTGTTGTAAATAATTGCAATTATTAGCCCCATAATCAATTGTTATTTCTTGATCAGGTAAAATATCACAAAGACTAAAGATAGCAAGCTTTGGAATTGGTGAGTTGATTCTTACTGGTACTATGTAACAGTTCGGATCACAGCTGTGATTAACATAACGACCAATATTACCAAAATGAGTAGGATCAACAAAAGTCTGCATTATTTGATTGTTTGAATGCTCATTTAAACAAAATATATAGTTTTTTTCCTTGTTAGCCACATTTGATCTATGTCTTTTGAATGCTTGTGATTTTGTTATAAGTTCTCCTGCATACTCACAAACAAATGAACCTTTAGTAATTAAATATTTTGTAAATAGACCAAAGCCTTTCTCTTGCAATTCACAACTCTTAACACTTAAACTATCACAAGGTCCTTTCTGGACTAACCGGTTTCCACAGTGACTTGAACACAAACAAACATCATTGCATTCAAATATAACTTTTTGATTGTCATTATCGTTGTTATAATTAAGTTTGTAAGTTCCTAGGTTATGATCAATGGAAAAAGTGTAATTTTTACCCCTGGAACTATTAATACAAAAACATCCTGCATCTAAACAATGTCCCCTACATTCACATTTATAAACAAGTTGTGAATTAAAGTTGTTGATTAATTCTAAATATTCTTCAGTATCTTCAGCTGGTCCTGGTATATTTTCAATTACATATATCAACCGACTATCAGAGTGTATGTAATTATCGTTCATAGTACTTTTATGATAGAAATAAAACAGGATTGGATTTAGAATAGTTTGGCAGGAATTTGGAGTACGGTCTTATATTACATAGAGGTTTGGTCCCAGACTCCCCGATAACAACAATATCACTTGCATTAAAAGTATGTAAATGCACTGTTTTCGAGAAAAAGAAACTTAGACATTTAGGGTACCTATGTTCCGAAATACAACGCAGTGTACTGTCCAATGCAAATGACGTATCATTTGACACTTTATTGTACTAGCGTGCCACCGCCATATTGTGTCGGATATCCGGCCATAATAAAACAATTTTTAATTGTGTGTTTGCCGAATGAAGCACGCTAGAATTTGTTTCTATTTATTCAAATACAAAAAATTATAAAATAATTGATGGTATATCCATTAGGAGGATATAATGATTTTTGGAGCACAAAATGACAAAATAATCGCCAACACTTTTTCAAATGGCGCAATAGTATGACGTCATATACTGTCCAATGTTTTGGAACGAATCACCAGTATAGCGTCGATTCATGACGTCATTTGCATTGGACAGTACACTGCGTTGTATTTCGGAACATAACCATAGAACATCTGAAAATGAGTAAGACGGAAAAACGAATATAATCTGTGGAATGTGGAATGTAATTAGGCAATAGGCATGTCGATTTGAGAACGATTAAGTGAAGAATCGATTTCTTGTGACAAAAATATCGATTTTTTAAATAGTACTGAATCGATCCAGTGAATCCATATCTCACCCTAGAAATTCGAGATCGAATCTTTTTCTGTTTTTATAGAGCTATAAAATTATTTACAATTAGTTGTATTATTTTATTATTGTGTTACTTTACTTTTACCCAAGCTCGTAAAAGTTGACAGTTTTTCTATTCAAAAATCGCAAATCTACTGTGTCCTTAGTTTCTTTCACCTCTTGTTAATGGAATAAGCAAATAAAAAAATAAGTTACGTTTGTAATCCGTTCTTTGTTGTATCTTTTGATGTAAATATGAGGAGATCGATATTTTAGACATCGATTTTATGTGAATCGATTCATCATATTTCGATTTGAATCGATTTACAAATCAGTCTTTTAAGGAAAGAATCGACATCCCTAGGAGCTCCTACGCACTGCTAACCAAAGATGTTCAAAACGACTATAAATCAATAGCACGCTATAGACTATAAACTATAAATTTCTAGCGCACTATTAAACACGCTATGTTATAGCGCGCTATTTATAAGAAAGCGTGTAAGAGGTCGGCAACCGCGTCAAGTTTTGCAGCACGCTATATCTCGTAGCACGTTACATTACATGTCGTTCATTAGATAGACCGCGTGCTATAATTCGAGCATTATTTCGTAATAAGTCGCATTTTAGACCAAAATAAAATAAAGCGGTAAAGAAAAACCAATGAACGCTTTTTCATACAATTCAGGCTTACGACTTTCTATAATCCCAAAAATATTTTTAAGGCATGTACTTTTTTAAACGAAATAAAATTATTTTTTTTTTATTATAATTGATGTGAACGTTATTTTAACAAAATTAATAATTTTTTTAAATTTAATTTAAATCAAATAAAGGTGTATTTGAAAGTTTATTCAACTATTTACATACACTATTATGTACACTTTTGTATCTATATTTTATTTACATTTAAAAACATTAGTTAGGCTATTTTGATAGCAGACAACTGTGGCCTTCGATCAATTATAATACAGTATACAATAACCAAACAACGTCTAACACTAAATTAGGTCGTGCGCGATGAATAGCGTGCTACTAGATCAAATTTGCGTCACACGTCCTCTCCCAACAGCGCTGCTGCTAGAACTAGTTGCCGCTAGATATTAATACCTAATAGCGCCAAAGCGCCATAGCGCAATAGCGCCATGGCGACTACTTACATAGCACGCGCTATGTGTTATGAAGAGATAGCGCGCTATAATATGGCTCTATGCGCTATATTAACCACCATTACTGCCAACCATGGCGGTGGAGGTCAGTGAGTTTTGGATTTTATAAGCAATCACTTTGAGCCCCTGCGGACTTAGCGACCAGCGGCCAGCACTGGCCGCGGCGGCCAATAGAATGCCGCGCGACCAGTGAACAGCGGTGGCCGTCAAATCATCACTTCTGTATTAAAATTCATTTTTAATACAGGACGGTTACGTAGGAATTTTATTAGACGGTGCAGATTATGTATTAAGGGTACACTAGTCGCTTATTCTTCCATACAAACGTAGTCTGGCGATTACTCCACTGTTTGATGGTGTACGTTCAAAATAAAAAATGATTTCCATTTTTTTCATCATTTTCTAGCCCTGTATGGAAACAAAAAAGTAAAAAAAAGAGTATGTTTAAAAGTTATAAGCGTCGAAAATTCCAAATTTCAACACTAGTTTTAACACATCTTTGGGCGGAAATAAATACCATAAGAAGAACGAAAATTGCAAAACAGTTACCATACAGGGATAGATTAGTTGTTCAAAAATGCAAATAATTTTATTTTAAACAGATACATTCAATAGATTTTTCATGACATCCAGACTACCAAAGGTCTGTTTATAAACTTTCGCGCGCCCGTTTTTGTATAAAACATCTTGCCTTTCGCTACAAATTGTTTCCCCGATCAGTGAGACGGACGGAGGGGGGGGGGGCAGTGCGCTCTCATACATACTCACTAGGTTAGCCGCTGCTATCTATTTATGGTTGTAATACCTACACTACGAGCACTTAACCCTATACAGACGTAATACAAGGCGACCCGAACCTGTCAACTGGTCAGTGACTAGTCACTGCTATATTTCGGAACACTTTTGTTTCCCGCCAGTTGCGACCAAAAACTAGAACCGAAGAGACGGCTTACATTTAAAATATAAATTAAAATCAATTTACGGCATCATGTCTTGTTGTGCCGGTAAATGGTGCGTAAACAACAGTAAAACATGTAGTGTAACAACAAACAATCCCCCTCCTAAAAATTCCGACGTCTTCTCGGGGGCCAAAAACGCAAAAGTTTTATATTACTTTTCATCGGTAAATACATTACTTTATTTTGCCAAAATATTTTCAACATTTTTATTACTCAACGAGGGTCAAGTTAAACTGGACAGTTCCGCCACGCGTCACTCCCCGTCCTTTTTGCATTTACTGCAAATATGTATGTCTGTCTCTCCTTATCATAATTAGCCTCGTGACGCTAATGACTAGTGCAGGGCGGTATATTTATTTCGTATTGTCGATAATTATCCACAAAATGATTATTGTATTTAGATATCGTTGTTTTGGATATATTAGATATAGACAGATACATAATTTATTAATATTAATTAATTATATATTAAAGTATATGTGTATTATTATTTACTACTCTTAGTAATACTTTATGATATTAATTATAATCATTCTTTTCGTGTATGAGCTTTGGATAAGTACGATAACATGTTATTTTATTTAAACTGTATGATTTTTCCCTATAGGTTTCCAAAAGATAGAAAGAGATATAGAGAGGAAAAAGAGAAAATTGTTTTCCACCCAAATATAGCGTCATGTGCTCAAAACATTTTACTGAGGATTGTTTTTTGATGACAAACAAGAAGCGTCGACTAATGAGAAATGCAGTACCTACGCTGTTTTTACCTCAGATGCAATACCTGTATAAAGGCTTTGTTTAAGAGTTCATATTCTACAAAAATAATGGAGGGTTAATTTATCCCTCACAAATGGTCGGTAAAATATGGCAGCGTTGCGAGTCCGTAATCGAGAAAGATTTTATTAATAGTGACTCTAAAGGAAAAATCACCGCAATGAACTGTTGACCCATAAAGTTCTTAGCAGCTTTACTTGTAAGTGCTAAGAACTTTATTCCCGGAATATACACATCATCAATTTTACTCCGAAAAAACCAATCATATTATTGATTTAACGAAAAGTGTAATGAAGAAATATATTGACAAAAGAATGACATTTATACTCAAAAATCAAAAATTGGAAGGAAAATAAGCAGTTAGGAGAATATATACAAAATTAATTCATTTTAAAAATTAATAATAGCACTTAATAAAATAAATATAATAAATAAACATGAAATTCTTTTTTATTCTCTTTTCAATCTCTCCGTACTGCCTCGTAGTACCTCGACCTTGAGCCTTTTTATAGGATAGGGTGACAAACGAGCACACAGTACACATGATGGTAAGTGGTTGCTGTGGCCCATAGACATCTACATCTATCCTCGATTACGAATCTAAATGCGAATGTGTTGTCACCCATGGGGAATGGAATGTCTCGTTTCCAGTAAAAAGGGTCGCCGGTTCTCTACACATACTAAATAAAGCATAAAGCTACTATTTTATGCTGGTATTCTGTGAGAGCGTGGTCCTTCCCCTGTCGAGCCGACCCATTCATGGTACAACTATACTACTAATATAACTGCAGCATGGCTCTACCACGT